TAGGTCCTTGTTGATTTGCTCGGTTGTTTGGTTGAGAGGTTCAAGTGCTATAGTGAGGGCATTTCTGATTACCCAGGAGACGTAGTTTAGGTCCATCCTGGCGTGGGTTTCTTGGGGGACGATGCTGGGGAGGATATAGTCGTACTTTGGTGCATATGGCTCATTATATTGGGTGTGTTCAGCGAAGATGAAAAAAGGTTCATTGCCGAGCTGGGTTTGTTCGATGGTGGTGGACTGTGTTTGTTGGGTTGATTGGGTGTCGGGGAAGCAAGGGGGTGTTGGAGTTCCAGGTGGGGGAGCTCCTGCGAACCAGGAGCTCAGAGAGGCTTGTTGGGACATCACTGATGTTCCTGTTCGGATTGGGTTGGGGAAGACTTCTGATAGAGTTCTCTTCCTGCCTGCGGTATTTGGTGGGTTGGGTGGTGAGGCCAGGTTGTCAGGTTGTTGATTTCGCAACGGTCGCGAGGCTTAAGCGAGGGCTGAGGGCTGAGGGGTAAAAGGGTTCACAGCTCAGGGACTAGAGCGTGAATAACTTCACGTACGAACAGATGTGCGATAAGATACCAATAGATTACGGAGTCTATTGACATACAGGATCGTGTTCGTGTAAAAGTTTTATCGAGAATGCAGGCCAAAAGTTATTGTTGTTCGAAAGTTTTGGTGTTGCGCGGGGTAGATACAAGATAGATAGATAGATATTTTTATATTGCATAGAAGCACATGGCTTATCGCACGCCTACACTACCGCCAAAGACAAAGGAAAAGTACGTACAAATACCGCGCGACATGGTGTAGATGAACAGAAACTAAGCGACGAACAAAGTAACAACACTACAGTAGAAATGAAATCCCAAGAGCTTCTCCGTCAAACAACATAAAGTCGATCGTCTATATACCCGTTCACCATAAACCAGGATCATTACCAAAGCCATATAGGAAGTACTGCACGAAGGCGAGGCGAAAGACCGCCGAAGCATCAGGTGCGAAAGCATAGGGAGGGGGGTGTCGATGGGGTCCCTGGGAGTCTGCTCGTCAGGCAGCAGGGAGTTAAGGTAGGAATGACACAGAGGCCAAGTGTAGATGGGGTGAGCGTGAGCCGCTACCTGTTGGTGGTCTTTACAGTGGTGACCTTCGAACTCGATTTCCGTAGTATATAAGGTGGTCGCAATCGTAAGTGCCGACCGTGTCTTGATGGGGTGGCCTCGGTTGTAGTACCGGGCCGATGGGGTTGGGTGAGCGGGGAAGCCGACTCGGTTAAAATGGGTTGCCTGGCTAGGGCCGTAAAGCGGGGTAAGGCCCAACGAAGGGACCTCGCGTAAGGTAAGGAACGAATGTTTCGCGACCGTAAGGTCGCTAACACCGTGGGTTATCGTAGGCTTTGGCAATAGGTCTGCGCTGACCTCCAGACTATTGACAGAGTGCCAATACGACGTAGAGAGGGGTAGCCTCGAAGGGCTGGTCGTTTGGGTGTCGCGATCGGGGGCGCCGACGGGTTTGAGGAGGGGTAAGAAGAAGGACGGTTCCTAGTAAAAGGCTTCAACTCGGTAGATAGGGGGGCGTCTCGCTCAGGGCCTGAAGCAATTCGAGAATCAGGATGTCGAAACGGGAGGGGGGTCCTGTCACCCGCGCGGTCGGGCGCGAGTAGGTACAAGAGGTTCCGTGAAGAGAAGAGGAAAGGAAGGAAAACATGAAAAGGCACGAGACAACACCCCCTTATATATCCAACTCCTAGTCCGTTGACGACTAATATCTTGCGTAATGGAAACCGAAAGAACATAACAGAAAGCCCATTACAAATTATAGTCCAACTGCGCGATTCCTTCTCTTCCCAACCCAATCTATCACCTTAGTCGAAATATAATATTGCCGTTACAAAAGCGACTGGCAACACCCGAGCAACAGGAGGCATTGGCAGACGAGAACTTCCAACCAACCTCGAACATACGACCCCATACTCGAAGTCAAGGCCCAGCGATCGATAATAACCGGGCTCGTAAGCAACAACGGAACAGGCGGGACTAAGCTCGATACCTTTCCCTACTCTATGACCTTTCCCACAGGGTTTTTATCACAGAAGGGTTTTAACGGTCGAGGGCGACGTCTAGGAAGGGGGAGTAGTGTTACGGGAATTACGGAACACTGTTCTAAAAGGCTTGGGGCAGTGAGAAATACGAGTGACGGGTTGTGATGCGAGGACGGTCGGGTAACGGAAGGACAAGCGTAGAAAGGTATCGGGTAGTGTGGGGGCACGCGGTGTTACCACACTAGTCCTATACTATTATGACCGCACGCTTACTATCGGGTGTCTCACCCGGAATAGAATAGGAAGTGGGGCTTACGGCTGTAGGCTGTTCTACTTACGGAAGTAGGTCTAGGACGATGGTATGGTACAGCCCGATGACTGGCAATTGCAAGGTTCATGGTTACATGTCGGAATTAGAATGGAGGACGGAACTATGCGGGGGCGCTTTTCTATCTGGGTTATCTTCGGGAGCGTTATCTTATTATCGTTGTGTCAGTTAGTATTAGAAAGCGGGTCTTGGCATAGGTTCCAACATGTATAAATAGGGCTTGATTTTGCGAAGGCTTGAAGGTATCATCAACCATCAAGTCAAGGGAATCCGGTTTACAATATCATCAGTTTAAACGCTACAGAATTATCGCTTAGCACTGGCTATTTCCCCAAACAGGAATATTGTTTCACCAAAGGAGCGGAGGTGCCCAATGAAGGGTTTCATTCCGGTAAGTGCTTCGTATGATGTCATATTCGGGAGTGATTTGTGTGGTAGTCTATTTTTAAAGTGTACCATAGTGTTGATAGTTTCTGCCCATAGATTTTTTAGAAGGTTGTAGTTGAGCAAGGCGGATCTTACCATTGTTGCTATAGTCCTGTTAAAGTGTTGTGCTTTTCTATTTGACTCATAAGAATATGGTATAGTGAATTCATGCTTTATGACTTTAGAGGGGAAGAATTGTTGGAGGTCGTTGGAGATTTACTCGCCACCGTTGTCGCTTCAAATCCGTTTAACCATTTTATCCAGTTGATGTTCCATGTATGCGATGTATCGTTATATAGCAGCTGCTGCATTTGAATTCTTTTTGAGGAAGTAGAGGTGAGTGTACCTGGAATAATCGTGGATGAAAGTGGTGTAGTAACTGAAAACACCCAGAGAAGGAGCCAAGAACTTGCCGCTCAAATCTGAGTTTATCAGTTCCAGCGGTTGTTTGGATCGTCGTTCGGCAAGGGGAGCGAGGTGTGTTTTGATTGACTTCGCGAGTTCACAAGTGTTGCATATTTCCATATCACTTGTTGTTGGGAGAGACTTAAGATCGGCCACCGTGATGTGAAGCCATGAGAGCAAGGAAGTGAGTATATGTCCGAGCTGTTGATGTCAGTCACAGAAGTAGTTGGTGGTGGAGAGGTGTACAAGTGGTTCCTTGGTTTCAAAAATGTAAAAACCAGTAATACCTCAATGAATTCCTTGCTGTTCGGTTTGTAGATGGTAAAACTATTTTTTGTTCTTATTATTGTGAATCTCTTTTTGGGAATACAAGACCAAAACATGAGGTTGGTATTGCCGAGTTCTGAGATCAAGAATACGTTCTGCAGAGTGATCAGGCCATGTGATCCATTGACGTTGACGTTTCCAATTCTGTTTATTCGTAGGTTGGGACCACCTCCGACAGTGACTGTGCCAGTATGAGGTGAGGAGTTGGTAATCTATGTTCCAGTCATGTGATTGGTTGCACCAGGGTCGAAGATCCATGCCTTATTATCGGAAGTGAAAGGTCCTGCAATGAAGCCAAAGTAGTGTTCCATGGTTATGTCCTAAGTGCCATCTAACAAGCTGATGAGATCGAAGTCAAACAGCATTATGAATACGTCGGTTTCTTCAAGTTCGGGCAAGCCAGAAAGATTGGGTATCCAAGAGGGGTCAGGTTTTGTATCAAATGCAGTACTAGATGCAACGTTGAAGTTGCCAGATGCAGCAGATTTCTCCTTATCTCTGAAAACTTTTGTTTCCTGGAATATTTGTGCGTGTGTCATTCTGCATATTTGCCATTCTTAGTGTATCAGGTGTATGTGATATCCCGGTTTTTCCTTTTGTTGTTACGTGCCTTCCTGATTCTTTTGTTGTTTCCATGTCCTGGGCTTCCTCAACTCATTGTGTAGTCTTCTCCAGCCACCTGTCCATCATTGCGCCGTGGGTCGATATCTAACAGTTTTTTGTAAATGTCATTGAAGATAACATTAGGCTTAGTTTGCAGGTTTTCTACAACTGATTCGAGGAGTTCATGCCGGAGTGAGAAGAGTAGGAAGGATGCCTTCACTCCTGAGATAGATCCGACTTGGTGAAGGTGGCAATCGAGTGGGTCCTTGGTCTTGTTCGTAGTGTTACTAGTTCTAGTGAGGAGTGATGAGCAAAGAGTGTTGAACTGGGTTAGATGTTCCTGAATATCCTTGTCGGGTTTATACTATAGAGTGAAGATATTAGCGAGTAGTGAGTGGAGGGAAGCGATGGTTTTTCAGTCGAATCTATCCTCAAGTTGAGTCCAGAGATGGTAGGCAGTATTGACCGATTTGCACGTGAGAATAACTTCGAATTCGATATTCGATTGAAGGAATACAACTGCGAGGTTGGCCTTTTTGTCTCATTCGCTAGTTCCTTCAACATTGTCGGATGTGTCTTCATCATCTTCTTTAGCCTCGGCAGTGCTTCCTTATGCTTTTGATGCCGTGGTGGATACAGTAGTGGTTGATACGAACCACACCCGTTATGCGAAAAGGAATGAGGCACCACCAAGTTCCGGGGGGTTCGGTACCATTAGTTATCAATTGTCATTTCCTTGTTATATAAGGGTCTCTTGCCCCTCCTTGTCTACATTTCCTTTCTTCCTTACGCAACATCTTGCATTCTACTTTGGGTTATCACTTTGGGGAATTTACTTCGCTTCAATACATACTTTATCGAAAACCAGGTAAAGTCTGCTGTTCCGAAATGAGTATCGCCATCGTCATCTCTGTTTTCTTGGTATCTCCCACCCTCATCGTTCTCCTCGTAGCTCTCGCTACCCTTGTCTCCTTTTCTTTGGTCGCAACAACATTCGCTATCTACGTCGTTATCCTCGACCTCATAGGAGCTACCCCTAGTTCCCTTCTATACACCGCCGCTATCATTTTACTGCGAATCTTTCCAATGTCTCTTGACCCCTACAACTATGCTTCGCCAATGATTTCTTACAGTGGTGGTGATTGGCAATACCGGATGCTTGCTCGAACCGTTGGCTAAGTTCCAAATATCGTGAACTTTCAACATCTGGGTAGCAAAGTCCTTCCATACAGTGTAATGGCCTTTACAATCTAGCTTGCATGGGAGTGTGGGAATTTTGATGCTCCTCTCAGACATGATTGAAAGTGAAATGAGAAAGTGTACTTTGTGGTAAAAATGGTGAAGAGTGTATAAGCGTGAGTAGTCTCCGGGTTAATAACCTAGAGAAAGTATGTAGGAGAAGTAAAGTAATTGATCTTGTGATTTGTTTTAGATAAGAGGGAATGCCCAGTATTTATACTAAAAAAAAGTGGTACAAAAAAAATACTATGAGTCATAGATGTATGAGTAATAGAGTGACTAAGGGGAAAGTGAGTAATGAGTGAGTCATCTGCCGATGATAAATACTATAATTAAATGATGGGGATCCTTCAATACTATGAAACGTGCCGAGCGCCCTATTTCAAGAGCGTCGTGAGGCGAGCGAGTCATAGTTCATGATTGACGTGGAGGTTGCCCAGCTTAGGATGCTCTGAGAGGTCACATAACCTACCTGGCATTCCTCTGTCGCCTGGCGTCTATATTTCCCAACCTGATGTAACTGACATCAGGTGCGGTGTCGCTGATATGAGTGTCTATGTCGCGCCCAGGTGGTGTCGCTCCTAAGAGGCGGTGCCACGTGGTCAATATGAGGCCTCCCGAGTGATATTGTGTGACTGCGGGAGCTGTCGATAAAATGTCGTATGTTTGTGTATATGGAGGTGATAGAAAGGTCGTATTCTGACATGCATCGCGAGACGTCCTGCCAGGTGGGGTGCTCTATGGGGTGTGTGGGGGGGGTTCGTTGGTGTATCGAGTGATACTCCATGATTGAGGTGAGTTTGCGCGGGCTGTTGTTGTAGGGACGATGTTGGACTTGTCGCAGTATTAGGTGAAATAGCCAGTGAGGATGAGTCCTGCCAGGTTGTGGCGTGTGGGTGGTATGGTGTTTTCTGATCCGTTGACCAAGCCTTCAATTTGGCCAAGTGCGCGCTCAATTCCTCAAGAGTGATGGATAGGGCGATTCTTTCAAAAGGCCCATGTTATGATGTTCTGACCCATACGCTGAACGCTACCCATAGAGTGATATCAACCTATATGTCGACCCGCTCACTTGTCATCATCGGATGACGTTACCCATTCATCAATGGGCAATGACCGGCGGGTGGGACTCCCATCTGGCAACGTTTCCATATGGGTAGGGACCAAGCTCATTGCACAGACTTGGGTCTTGTAGGCAATTGAAGAGACGCTTCACAATGTATCACTCGGTAATAATTAAGGTTTGCAAGCTGTAACTAAAGTTTAGTCCAACCATTACCATCAACTTCCGGGACATGGACACAGCTACTGCTACCTAGTGTCGTCGTATGAACATCTGACATATGACGGACTGCCTGGGGTTCAATCCCCCGACCTGTAATGGGTTTCGGCACTGCGATATATAATTCAGGGCCTGGCAGGTGCGTCATATTGTCCATACAGAATGGATAAACGCCAAACCACAGAGGAAGTGGGTTCTCCGACTTACTGTACCATGAATTTATTCCTCTGGAGGTAGGCGGGTAACACTTCAGCTGTTTATCCATTAGCCTAACCCCATATTGTACATGAGTGAGGTCGCTAAAAGGATAAACAGCTGGCGTAAGTCGATGCATTTTTTTCTACTAACCGAGAATTATCTCCTTCAACCGTTGCAAGCTCCTATACCCGATCCAGCAGTGGTGCAATAACGTGCACTTGCCCCAACAGTCAGGAACACCTAATTAAAACTCCTGAATCCACCCCAACAGCAATATTGGCTCCTTGACCCGCCCTCGCAGCTATACACCTCGTGCACTCGCTTCAGGAGCTATACAAGCTTCTGCACACGCCCTAGCAGCTCTACCTAGTACTGGACTCGGCCGAGCAGCTATGCAGGTTGTAGGACTTGCCCCAGGAGCTATACAAGCTCCTGTACTCGCCCTAGTGGGTCTATATGCTACTGGACTCGTCACAGTAGCTATCCAAGCTGCTGGACTTGCCCAATAGACTCTGGCCTCGCCCCAGCAGCTATACAAGTTCCTAGACTTGTCCCATAGACTCTGCACCCCCCCAGCACCTATGCACTCGCCCCAGCAGCTGTGCAAGCTCCTACCTTCGCTCTATTACCGAGTGACTTGCACCAATATAGTTGTACCAGTGTCTCGAACTGTGTAAGCAACTATAGCATTTGTAATGAATGTAATACAGCGGTGGGTAATAAGTGATCAGACAGAACGCCACCAAAATACGAGTTTGCAGCAAAATTGTGGCTACGCCGCCCGATGACTTAATACACACCGCTGTACATTGATTGAAAAAGATTGAGATACACATATGTTGTTAATGTAAATATATCAATTATACGACTACTATTCAATTTGATTTATCCAACGCACAGTACGGGGGATATCTTTACCCCCGCCGGAGTCACTACTTCCTAACTCAATTTCCTCCGAACACGTTTTGATTCATCAGGCTTTGCTGCACGCTTCCGAAGATTGAGATTTTTCACAATAACTTCACCTGGTTCTCAATCATAATCCTCCTTATCTGCGTGCTGTTCGGGTAGAGGTTCGACTACAACTAAATCAGTTCCCGAATATATGACTTGAAAAAATTGAACACATGATATGGTACTATTAATTTACCTGCTACAGCTTCTGCTGCCACGATATTTGAACGGAGAGATATAGAGTCCAAAAGAATATCATAGTCTACTTTTACTGTTAGTAAAGCAGAGCTACTAGATAGCGGTAAACAAACTATGTAGATCCCTGTCATCAGTCTCGTCAGGGGAATCTGTATCAGTGTCTGAGTCGTTTGAAATCCGAGTACTGTCAGAAAATAAAACTAAATCCTCATCCAGGTTGTTGCACTTTTTTTCCTTTCCCTTGCTATTGGTATGACAATGCAAACCGCATAAAGATTTCGCCCGAAAGCATGGACATCTTTAAGTTTGGCATTCTGATCTGCAGTTGCATTTGATCGATTGGTATCTCGTGTTAGCTTGAAAGCTGAGGAGAATCGAGATACTGACATCACCAAGTCTTTCATTTTCTGTGCGTTTTGCCACCATCATGATTGTAACAAATTGGGAGCCGGAACCCTTTTTTGGGCGGAAGGTGACGCTTGTTGGCACTAACTCTATTTCTCTTGCTACACAGGCGCGCTTGATAATGCCGTATTCGCTCATAAGGGTAAAGGATTCCTTGCCGGCCTGCATTATACGGCATATCAATCTCTTGACCCCAGCTGAAAGACGATCTACCCGTGGTATTTGTAAGGTTACCATATCCCCCACATGGAATTCCAGGATTTTATTTGCATCTCCGCCCCGAACTATCATTGCCTCTTTGGCCTTGGATGTTGGTGCTCTAACCTGAGAGTAAAGCAGATCCCTTGACTTGGCGATTCGATATTTGACAGTCCGGCTTCATTGCCAACAGGCAATGGTGCAAGCAACAATTGAGGATCGATCGGGATTGACTGTTCCTCACCAGCTTCCTCCTCCACCACCGCAGTCAAGCGTTCTGTAAATAGCAAGCCATTTCCGAAGATACCTTGACCAAACACAATCTCATATAGACCCTTGAGAGTCACTGAATGTTGTTGACTATTCATGGCTAGTATGGCTTCCGGCAATACCTTCGACCACTCGTTGCACCGGTGATTCCGCATCTAAGCACATATTTTTGTCTTGAGAACACTATTGCCTTGTCCGATTAAGCTCTGGCTCTGGGGATGGAGAGCACGTCCATTAATAATCTCAATTTGGTCAGTGAAATCGATTTTCTGTCAACTAGTAAAGCAGATAGGGGCGATCGAATTTGATATACCTGTATACCATGAGTCTGAAGGAGAACAAAAAGGGTACCTTTAAACTCCGAACCATTGTCACACTGCAGGATTTTTGGGGGTCCGAGATGGCTGATCCAATGCCTTAATGCGGTACAAACACTCTCACTATGCTTTGACTCCAGTGGATATGCTTGAGAGTATTTACTGAAATGATCTTTGAAATGACAGATCCATTTGAAGGAACCATCGCGCCTGTTAGACATGTCTACTAAGTCCACCTGTACACGTTCGAAGAGGGTATTCGTAATAATCGGCTTGAGAGGTGCTGTTTTGGTTTGAGTTTTGTTAACCGCACATGTCGAACAATGACTTAGTATCCACTCAACCTCCTGTCTAGTGATCCCATAATAATTCCTATCGATTTCTGCAAAGGTCTTCCTGATATCCGCATGTCCCAAATTCATAATAACCTTTACCACTAAATCAAATAGTTCCAAGTCCGTACCTACTAGCCTGGTGGTTCCGTCCTTTCTCTTTGCTTTTACTGACCCATCAATAATGTCATACTTAACCTTGACCTCATATCTTAACATCCCACCCTGTTTTCCTTCCAACTGACTGATTTCAATCAAAACCTCACGAATACTTTGAACATTCTCCGGCTTGGGACGAGAGCGGTTTTTATTTTCCAGACTGAGAAGCCTAATGTACCAAGAACGTCTTGACTCATCGGGGAAAGCTAAAGTGGCAGGATGAAAAGACATATTAAGAACTGAAAACGGAAAAAGCCTGAACACTGGATATCAGTAGCTAGGAGTGGAGGACGTAGAGAACGGGATACTCCCTCCATTATATATTCATTCCGGCAAGCGCAAAACACTCATACCTAGCTACCCAAAGTGTACCAGTTCAATCATTGTTGGTATTTTAATTCCCTCAATGTTGATTAGTACAGTCCCTCTTTGCCACAAGTCATGACGTATCGTGTAAGTTTCGTTTTCCATTTTTAATTGAATGACGTCCCCCCTTTCTCCTAATATCTGTAGATACAATCTCATACAGCTAACCTTTACCCGGAAGTTACCTTTATTACAAGAAGCAAATAATATACATAATGAACCGACATCTCTATAAAAATAGTGTGATTTATACGTCATCAATATCTAATAATCTTCGAAAGAAAGGTTACCAACAGCCCGTACCTCCCCAAAGTTACCAACAGTCCCCATACGACCAAGAGAAAAGCTACCAACACAATCCGTAACCCCAAAAGAAATGTTAGCAACAGTCCATACTCCCCCAAATGTACCAACAAGAGCTCCAATGGCCTGTACAGGTGCTGAGGACGCTACAGTGCCGTGCACGCTTGCTGGGGAAGCTGCAGTGGGTATAGTACAGCTCTAGTGACGTGCACAGGCGTTGGGGACGCTGCAGTAGGTGTGCTATATAGAGCTCCAGTGGCGTGCACAAACGCTGGGATGCTGCAGTCTCCATACCACCAAAGTAAGAGCTAACAACAGAACCTGTAACCCCAAAAGAAAGCTTAGCAACATCACCGAAGCCACAAAAAGAAAGTTTAGCAACAGCCCATCCCAACTGGAAATCAACAGGTAGGTTACCCATACGCGGTCTCATGCCTGTTCGCGAATTGGTAGTCTAAGAGTAAGGCAAGGGATACCACCACCCAAACGCGACGTCTGAGGGACCCGAAATCTTCTCCGCGAATAACACTTAGAACCTGATACGGCATCGGGCAGTTTATGGCTTCTAAAAGGCTGTATCTGGTGGTAAAGAGCTCTCATGGCTCAGTCGTTCCCATGTCATGATTCGATCGTTCTCATGTAGTCTTTGAACTAATAACTGGCGTGGTATTCGCGAACAGCCTACAATATTCCGCAATATCTTCTTGTTCGTCGCTTGCCTAGGTATTTCGCGAACGGTTTAGCGTTGTTCGTCGGTTGACGGTGTTCGTGGAGTGCCTACAACATTAACCCAAGTCTCTGGTATAATCTTACACAATTTATTTTGTACCTTAGTGGTTTGCGCGCTCTTCTTTCCTATGCTATCGCCAGCGGCACTGATGTAGCAAGGACATCTTATGCCTCTAGATGAACATACTAGACGGAGTAATACCTAAAGGATTCGTCGTGGATGCCATGGGGCGCGGAGACCAGCCTAGCATTGAGCTGGCGACGACCAGCCTATCTCGGTTGTACTGTCAAAGCTGCCGGACCCGCTTTTTCTCTAATATCTCGAGCCGCAGAAGATTAATAGAGCAGGTTACAGAGCCTTACCTCTCAAATATCACATATCCTTGTTCAGTAGACCTTGATATCTTATATTAATATTTGGATAACCCAAACACAAATATCGCCTATCTCACTCGCCAGCTCTGGAAGGAGCTAGAAACGTACGCTATCCAAGCATATGTATTAATGATATCTATGACATTACAGGGTGGTACGGTACCCCTGGTTGCCGTTCAAGTGGGTAACCTACATGTATGTTGATGTATGGCGATTGCAGCACAAGATAGGTATACTCTTCTATACGCAGCCACCTGAAACCTCTTTTCTGATCCCTGTCTCCAGCCCTAACTCGCAGCATGTATAGAAGGATACATTATCTGGTATATAACTGTCGGGCTGGCTCTACCTCTCCTTCAAGCCCCGAATAACAAAGGCTATCACTCTAACCCTCACTCGGACCATACCTATCGACTGTCCATCATGGCACACGTTCTACACGTTATTCTACCTCCCACCCGCCACCTACTCCATGAGGCCATACGACAACGCAAAGGGGGCAAACTCGCCCGACTACTCAGAGATGGTTGGAGCCCGAACACCACGGATAGCAAGAATAGAACGCCTCGCCACTGCGCCGCAAACCACGGATGCAGAACAATTGTTAGTCAATTAATCGATGCTGGCGCAAACCCAAATGCCGAAAACGACGCCATGAAAACCCCTCTCCATCTTGCTACGAGTCACGGATACGAAGAGACTGTCGTTTGACTACTCGAGCTTAAGGCAGATACCAATACCCAGGACATCCACGGTTATAGGCCTCTCCACTGCGCCGCGAACCACACGTCCAAACACATGTCCACAGCGGCAGTCGAAATACTACTCCAGAATGGGGCAGATAGATCCCAATATCAAAGACAATGATCCTTGTACCCCTATCCACTGGGCTGTTCGCTGCAGGTCCGTAGCATCAGTCTATCTCCTACTGCAGGTTGGAGCAGATGCCCTTATCCCGGAGATCAATGGTTATACGGCTCTCTACTTGGCTACGCGCAACAAATCGGTAGTAATACTCAATCTGCTACACCGGCATGTAGTCAATCTATTTTGGCAGTATGCATGTGTACTCAATGAACTACTCCAGGATGGAGTAGATGCCGATGCCCAAGATGAACGTGGCCACCCGCCACTCCTGAGGGCTTTCAGCTGCGGATACGACCACATTTCCCGTCTATTGAATGCCGCTGCAAAGGCTACGAACAGTCAACGCAGAGAGAGCGGCAATACTGCTCGACAGGCCTTCAAATGGGCCCCATCTTATATGGGCTTGCCCGGGCTCTTAATGGCCTGGGCTGGGCTGGGTATCGGCTGAAATAATTGGGCCAGGCCGGGCCGGTGTTTTTTCGGGCCCGGGCTATGTTAACTGGGCTTGGGCGGGAAAATTGGCGTTTTTCAGACACCAAAAGGTATTTTGTATAGGTAAAAATATTAATGCTACTTAGAAAGTTCGAACTGAATCTATTTTAATCCACGCCATGCTCTTCGAATTTGTATCGCTTATGTTAGGCCACTTAGGCTTAGCCCGGGCTTTTTTAAATAGGCCGAAGCTTTCGTGGGCTGGGTTGGGCCGTGCCGCGGTATTTTCCAGCGCGGGTGAGCCCATTGGAAGGCCTGCTGCTCGACCGCTCGAAAACGCAGAAAACAGCAATCCGCAAGACAAACACGCCGAACATCGCTTCCTTTTAAGAACTCAGCGATACAAGCACACTGCGGCTTGGTTAATCGATGAATATAATAACAATACCGCTCTTCTATCCTCAGATAGACAAAGTAGCAATACCGGGGATAAAAGGCAAGATATCCTTCTCCTATGGGTGGTAGAAAAGAGAAAATTGTCAACTAATCGACTCTTAATCAGACGCCAATCCTCAACGCGTGGTGAGTACGATCGCTCTGTTGCGGTCGGTCCTAGGATCACGCTCACAGCCAGTTGCTATCGATTAGCACTTCTACTCCTATGTGTAGTAGGATTACCTAGATGTTGGATTAGTTCTATAGCACACTATCTAGAGGTACACATAGTGATTATTTCTTCTTCAGATAGTTTCGAAAAAGGATGTGTGGGTCTCAATGTACATATTTCCGATATTGGAGCAGTCAACCAGGCTGCTAAATCAAAATCAAAAAGGCTTAGAGGCCCACTAGTACATTTGTGTGCCCAACTACACTCAGGAGTAGCACCCCTCTACGTGGAAATCGATGCCCTGTTAAAGGAGACTGCATTGGACCATATACACGGTTCAAAACATCGAAACATAATGAAGATCTATCTTTCCCTGAATGTCCACCTGAGTGTATTTCATTCCGTGCGTCCGAGTAATGCACTGACGATATGACCTTCGCTAAATGTGCTTGTTTTTACTCCATGTTCGTTCCTCCAGCTAACGATGCGGATTAGATTACTTGGTGGCCTCTCAACATCACACCGCACTAGAAGATCACATTATACACTGGTACACAAACCGTACACATGTCCTTACAAAGTAGTAGCCCTAATTCTAATTTTTTACTGATATAGGGGGAAAAGCCCCTCCTACTATACTTGGCCAAATTACTGATGTCGGGATGAGTGTTACCCTGCCGAAGCACCAAATCCATTCCAAGATAAGATAATTTAATTACAAAGCTTTAAAGCTCATGTGAGTGTACCTACTTGTGCCGGCTATTGCAAGATCAGCCGACCGGTCCTTCACGGTGATCAGTAACATACAGCAGGTTTCAGTAGGCGCGATCCACCCTCTCCAGTTGTTCGTTGGTACTACGCCCCAAACAAGCCTTCAAAAATGATTTAACAGTTCGATTCAGTTTAGTTCTTTTCCTCCTAAATATTGAGTCACCTGAGTATCTCACATGCGCTAGACCGGTGCTCAATGTAGGTGGAAATATGTGGCGGGTACCCAAAGGTGATAATTAAAGGAAGTATGTAGGAGAAGTGAAGTAATTGATCGTGTTATTGTTCTAGCAAAGGGGGGAATGCCCTGTATTTATACTAAAGAGAGGTACTACAAAAAGTGATACAATGAGTTATAGACGTATGAGTATTAGAATGACTAATAGGAAAGCGGGTCATGTGTGAGTCATATGCCGATGACCAATACTATAATGTAATAATGAGATAATGAGAATAATCCAATACTATGAAACGTGCCGAACACTCTGATGAATATTCGGACGCGTTGAGATTTAGGTAAACCAGTCCCGCTGGTCACAGTTAGCGCCGTTCTCAATAACTCACTGTAACAGTGTTTATATTTTCTGGCCCATACACCTATCAAATGTACGGGCATCCTATATAGCTGTCTTGACCAGTTGATAGATAGGTTAACTGAAAAACTTGACGTTCGATGTTTGGGTCGTCCTATTGACCGAGGACAGCCCGATAGGCAGCGTCCGCTGAATGGGACAGAAAATCACTCCGTACTAGCGTTGTGCTCTGGTGTCAGAGGTGTACAGAAAGAGGCCGAGGTTGCACCACCTACCTGTGGGTTCCGAGGCGTTTTGCGCAGTGTTGTGCTGTCCGAGTAGTCTGCAGGTAGGTTGGTAGTGTCGCCTGGTGGAGGGTTGCACAGAGCTACGGTTGGAGGTCGATGTCGGTGTGATATATTGGGCAAGGCCGAGTGATATCGTATGATTAAGTGGCGTCGGAGTTGTGGGTGGGCGGTATAGGTGAGGCTGCATATTAAAGTCTCTATCTGGGGTTAGGGTTACTTTCAACTTCTTTCGACTGTTATTTTCCTATTTTGACAAAGCCCCTAGAAGATCAACCCCATTTTGCTTCTTTGATAGGCCTCAAAACCAACTGAAGGTCTCTTCGATCCTGTCTCTTCTCAAGATAAAACCTCAACTTATCCCACCCCCATTGCCATGCGGGCGCTATCTCGGAACCTTTGATTTAGTAGGCTACTAGTATTTTGGTTGTTACTTGCCAATTTCCCCTTGTACACTCATATCACCGGGCAAGAGGTCCATTGCAAAGTCGCGTAGTATGGAGAACCTCTTCTCCAAACATTTTGTACCGGACATCTTGATGCGTGGGCTATTGATATAAAGCGTTCAAGTTATGTAAAGATCGTACTATCATCATTGAGTGCGTATTTAAAGTTCTCATCACTTCTTTGTTATGTGTAAATTTATATACAACGAAGGCCTGCTCGCTCTACTTCGGAAGAGTCTAGTGGAGAATAAGCTGTTGTCTGTATCATTGATAAACCTTTGTGTCACTTGACTATTTCGAGTAGTCATGGCGCATCACTCGGTCATATCTTATCACTCGCTCATACTCTATCACTCGGTCACGGTCTATCACTTGCTGTCTGTTTTTTTTTTTTTTTTTAATTCATTGATCGCATGAACCCTATCCCTTTGTCTGTTAAAGCTTCCATGCCATAGTAGAGGGATTAATTTTGTATGGGAGATCCGTTATTTGATAAGGGTAGATGACAAGATATGTTTCCTTGGGGTGGCAGCCTCTACCACGGCGGTAAATGCATCACAGGATGCATTGCCCACGTAAGCCGGGCAAGTAAATACATCAATTGATGCATAACCTGTTCTGAGTTGTGTAAAGTCGTATTCTGGATGTATTATCAAGATGCATTTCCCACCGTAGTAGAGAGCTATTAACTGATAGATGAATGGATAAAGCTGTGGCGGTGCTTGGTGGCAGTGCTTGTGGTATTAAGATTTTTTTTTTGGTTCAATTCAGTTACTCGTGTATGAAGCCAGTAAGCTATGACACTTGCTGGTCGCCACCACCAGTCTAATAAACAATATACAATGACTTGATTGATTCATTGACTACCTCATTAATTGTATGCACCCCGGAGATTATGAATATGAGAAGAAAAGTATAGTTCAAAGAATTGTGCTATTTAGATTATGATTGGCTTATTGAAGTATATACATGAAATCGCTTCAACGCGATAATGCGTAAGGTCCGATGCGCGTACGTGGGTAATGGCTGGTTTGTATGTGAGCTTTCGCGGCGATAATGGGTAGGGGGGGGGGGTATACTAGGATTCCGTATTATCTAATTCCGCAGGTGCATGTCTTTGTAAAAAACTCCGGCAGTGATGTAGTGAGATAGTTTTTGAGGACTGTAGGGAAATAGGGCATGAGGCCTGAGGCCCAGTCGTTGAATGGAGATTGTGTATGAGTTGTTTGCTTCCATGAGCACATCTAGATTTGGGGGGGGGGGGGGGGGGAGGGAGTGGACCCTTCGTCGTTCTGTATCGTCAAGTCTATTGCCCCCGTCTTGTGTGAGTACGATTCCCTCAAGCTACATTTTTTTTAATCCTAAGTTCTTGATGTTATCCCCTACCAGTGAGAACATACAAACCCCAATGAAATATCACTCCTTAGATACTAAAATGATATCATCATATCCCACGGCCTCGGAGATGAAAAACAGTATCCTGCCTCCGGGGATGAGTTATCCAGTTAAATACAGGTTAATCCTCTAACACCGTCGTCGTCTATGCCAAGTCGCTGGCGTGACACCACCACAACCACCCAACTGTCCCAACCACTCCTACTCAAACATCAAACTCCTCCTCACTCATCGCCGCCATCCCTTCGTTCGTACTGACGAGAAACGCTATTGGGGCTGTTTAACTTGTTCCAGCGACTTTTAGCTCTAGTACACCTAACCCACACTCCGCGCCGCACGAGCGTGGCTGTCTTTTAGGTCTAGATGCCGCATGTCTTGGCCACCAAGAGGGTGTTGTACCGCCGCTCGGCGCGCTGCTCGACTACTGCAAACCATTTTTGCTCCTACAGCATCACAATGTTAGGGGGGAAAAAAAAGATCTCGCACTACAAACAAGGGAATGCTCAACCGCTATCGCAACCGCAATCGTGTCAGGTAGAACCCACCACTCTCTTCACCGTCTCTGCATGCCAGTGCTTAAAAAAACCCCTCAGAACTGCCTTCATCCGCAGCGCATACAACGCATCCGCCGCATCCTCTGGGACCCTCGGCTTCTGAATCTCCTCCTCCTCTCCCGTAATCCTCACCGGTGATCTTGCCCATGTTCTACCGCTATCCCTACCTCGGCGCGCACTCACCCCTCACTCCGCCTGCGCGCAGCCATCTCAACCGCTTCGGTAGCCTCGTACGCTGGCAGGCTAGCCAGGCCATTAAACGACCTGCGCGCAGCACGGCGCGGGGCGCGGTAGTACTCATCGGCCGACGAGATGTCGGTGGCGTCGGCGGCGTCGTAACACTACGGCGTAAACTCTACTGTCACCGCCGTCGTCGACGGCATTTCCAGGGAGCGGCCATCGATGCCTTGCTCCTGCGCTGCGAGTTAGCCGGTTGGCCCTGGAGGTAAGGCGGTAGGGAGCGGAGGGAGGGGGGGAAGGTACAGATAGAAGGTGAAGAAAGCGGTCGTAGATATTGTCGCCGGGCTCGGGCTGCAGCTGCAGGATGAAGTGCAAGTAGACCTTGTCGAGGGTGGGGTTGATGCCCCGGGCGGCGACCACAACATCGTAGACTCTGTAGACGGCGCTGAACGAGTTGTTGCCCCCGTGAAGACGGCCGCGAGGGAGATGATTTCGTGCAGGATCTGGGGGTCTGTATTGGTGGGGACGGGTTTTTAGGGGTTTGGTTTTCTTTGTGTGGATGTGAGAATGGAAGAGAGAAGATGAGAGGAAAGAGAGAGAAGAAAGCGCGGAAAGAAAGAATGGGGATTTGTGCTCTTGTCGGTTGGGGGCGGAGAAGGCCGGAGGAATTTATATATATAGATGTATAACTCTATGTCAAAAATCCTGGGACAAGCCCCCGTAGAAACTCGCGGTTGCGTTGTCCCATCATCTTTGAACGAGAACTATCTCTACTACGGCATTTTATGCATCAATTGATGCATTGCCCATATTAAATAGGCGAGTAAATGCATCAATTGATGCATAACCTGTCGTGAGTTGTGTAAACTTGTAGGCAAGACACCATGGTACATTTTTTGGGTGGCGATTGTGTTTGTAACACAATTCTATTGGGTTAGCCATTCTACAATTGTGTTCCTGACACAGTTGTGAAGAATAATTGTGTCATGAACACAGGAACATTGTGCTGTAATTTCTGACTTAGAACTTTTAGAACTTTGAACCATTAGTTATTGTGTCCACAGTTCTACAATAACCTTTTTATATTTTCCGATTTTTTTGTTTTATTTTTATTTTCATAATTGTATATTCTTCGATTTTTCTGTTTTATGATTATTTTCATAGTTTTATATTTTCGATTTTTTTATTATTATTATTTTCATAATTTTATATTTTCGATTTATTTGTCCATATCATAGGTTTATAGGACCAAATTGAGCAATAAAATATGTAAATTGTTCAATGGCCTAGCGGTTAACCTGCAGGTAATGATATATTTATATATATAAGGCTGAATGCCCAATCCCTCCACACTCACCTCCTCGGTTTTTACTAGTATGCCAGGAGCACAAGTCTATAGTGTCAAAAACACACTTTACCTGTGTCAAGAACACAGTAAAACCACACTTTATGTGTGTTTTTTTACACAATTTTAACACATTTCTGACACACCAAAATGGTGTTATAAACACAGTTCCAGTGTGGTTCCAGCACAGTTCCAGCACAGTTCCAGCACAGTTCCGGCACATTAATGCCACATTATCGGCACATTAATGCCACTTTATCGGCACATTATTGGCACATTATCGGCACATTATTAACACATTGTCGACAGCAGGTAAAACTACAGATACATAGCGCATTTTGACTGTGTTACTAACACAATAATACGACACATAGAAATTGTGCTACGAACACAAGCAAATTTGTACCTTGGTGAAGATGGTTCGTTTCCTAACGACATTATTCGATTTAAGCTTTTTGGTTACTACAGTGGTTGTATTACATCAGCGCCTGTAAACTGTGAACGATTTGACATGCCAATTTACACACCCTATTGGTGACGCAATACATGAGGTGATTTAACTAACAATTATACCGACGAATTTACACACAGCCGTACTACTAGTAGTACCACTAATTTGCTGTAATGATATTACCTACGAGCTTGTATACAGCCGTACCCCCCTCCCCTAAAAAAATCCTGAACGATTTAACATGTGCATTTACCGATGACTTTCCTGATGCTTTTGCACATAGCCATACCCCCCACCTGCAAAGCTTGAACGACTAACCACATACCTTTACAGACACTAAAACCGATGATTAAGAGTTTGCATCGTACTGCAATCCGTGTATTGATTTTACAAACGATTATACTGACGAATTTACCGACGACTTTACACCAAGACCTGTAGAGTGTGAGAGATTTTACGGATAATATTACTGACGATTATACACAATCACTACCGGTAAAGCCTGAACAATTAAGTGTTTAGTTATACGAACGATATTACCGACGACTTAATACGGCTTTGCTACTTACTATAAAAAAAACCTGAACGATTTTGTAGACGGTTATACCAACCATTTTACATCAAGGCCTATAAAGCAGGAAAGATTAAGTTGATGCATTGTAAACGAAATGACTCACGACTTTCCGCATGGCCTTAAGCTTCTCTATAAAAATTATGAGCGAATTTACGGACGATTATACTGAGACTAGTATCCCTGAGGAGTTACCCCCAACCGCATTCGCACACGCCATGAATGATATTACCGACGATTTAATCCATCACTTTACTGACGCTATTTCCGACGATTTATACATGACCTTGCACAGTACTGTAAACTTGAAACACTAAGTTAAACAGATGATTATAATAAAAACTTGCCTAACGATTATCTATCTAATGGCAATTTACCGATGATATCACTAACGATATTAACTTAACGCCGGTAAACTGTCAACGACTTTACGGATATACTCAGTCGTTGCAGCGATATCCGAACATTTAATTAACGTGCTAGTACCGACGCTTTTACATGTGCATCATAAACCTGCGTGATTTTACTAACCGTTTTACTTGTGCATTTACTTGTGCTTTTACGCCCTCGCCTTTACATCGTGAACGACTTTACAGGTGATTATACTAACGATATTACTCTCCACCTTATTTTTCTAGTTGATTTTACTAACGATTATATCTACGATTTCTCCGAGTCACCTTTCCGCGAGGTGCGTCCACGATATTGTCAACTACTTTACATACGATTTTACCTATACTTTTACATTTACAAGAATTCACGTCTCTTTCCGTGACTTTACTAATGATATTATCTACGATTTTGCTGTTGATTAGTACAACAGCCGCTGCATCAACAATTTTACAAACAGTTTTACAGACGATTTCCCGATAACTTTTCTTATGCACTATTACTTCGAGTGATTTTACGGACGAAATTGCTGATGAAATTACACACGCGTTCATGACAGATTTCTATTTGTTAATTTATACTGTTGGTGATATTACCCACAATTTTACCAACAACTTTACTAACAAATATTTTAAACTTTTTGGTAGGATTTTAAAAAAAAAAAAAGAATATCCCAACAACTTAAGTAAAAAATCCTCTGACGAGTATACAGATGATATTATTTATACCCTGTAAACCCCATGGAAAAACCCGAGAATATAGCAATCTGTTTTTTTAGAGACTAAGCCCGAGATATTAGCCCTCATATTAACATCCATACCTTCATATCCCCACTCACCGCGCATTTCTGATCTTGAATAAATCATATCAGCACCACTAAGTTTTTTTCTGCTTATATTTTCTTTTAGGTTGAGGTTTAAGATCCAGCGGAGTTTGAGGAACCTGGATAACATCGTCCTTGATATATCCAGTCACCAGGTTTGTTTTCTCTTGCGGACTATTGGGGTCGGCAACTAGAGATCTCTTCAACGGGTAACGGTGTTTGTCGTTTCCCTATGGTACAAACTTTCTTAGGGATTGGGATGTGATATCCCGAAAATCGGGATAGGTTATCCTGTGGGAGGATAACCTTGAGACATTTGGGCGTTTTGGGTGTCAATGATAGCTAAAGAAGGAGATTTTGCTCTAATTATCCCCGCCAAAAGATATATGACTCAGTTTATCTTTAGGTAAAGATACAGGTTTCAGGTTATCTTTACCTAAAGATACAGGTTTCAGGATAGGTTATCTTTTCCCGTGGATATATATCCTTTCCTACGGATATAATCTAATATCCCATCATAAGGATACGGACTTTTACATAGAATAAACTGTTCTCCTGCTGGTAGTATTTCGCATCCCTAGCAATTTTGGACTTAGACAAATTCGGTTTTTTTTTGGCTGTCGGATTTTTAAACCTAAGCTTGATAGTGGTAATTTGTACTAGGTCTGTATCTGAACCACTGGCATAGTTGATAGCATCCACTAGATACAATCACCAATCTGCAAGTTCGATTCCCCTAATCTACATTTTTTAAATTTAAGTTCTTGATGGTATCCCCTACGAAGGGTAGGATATCCCCTACCAGTCAGAACATGCCCACCTCCATGAAATATCTCTCCTTAACTGGGGATACCTTATCATGTCCCGGTGAAAAAGGATAACTTATCCAGCAAATCGAAGGGTCGTACCCAATAGTTAAGATACCATATCCCTCCTAAAGGGATTGCTTATACACCTAGAGCAGGATATCTTATCCCACCCCGGAGATGGTATTTGCCCCAAAACAGTATCCTGCCTTCGGGGATGAGCTATCCAGTACTTTGTCCTCTAGGGGTTTGCCCCTCCGACTGCACTCCGGCTTGACGGCTATTTTCTAGCACTAGCAACCGCTCTTGAATTGCTGCTGCATGTGTCAGGATATCCATCCCACTTGGACGTGGGTGCCCAATCAACTCCGGATGGCCAGGTATTTTCATGTTCCCAAGCATCCGAGAGTTATAAGTTCCCATGGCCGGGGCGTGTCCCATGACTCCATTTAACGGCAGTTCCATACTTTGTCGACCATATTGTAATGCAGTCCGCAGACCTCGTTGGTTCGCTGGAAGTGGCGGGGGACCCATAACTTGTGTTGTGTCTTGTATAGGAATCTGGGACTCAGGATCAGGACCAGGAATCAGCATTTTTGGAGGTTGACGTGTCTTCTTTTGGTATTTATGGAAGGCATATGGCTGCGAGTCAGGCAAAGAGGGGTAGTCGTGAGCCAACTCCAAGCCCAAGGCAGGAGGTCTACCCCCCGACCTTTGGGCACTCATCCTTCCGATGTGTGCCTTCTTCCTCACACTACCATTTTGGGTTCCTGGCATGAATAGGGTAGAAGGAGGAGTTGTGAAGACGTCCTCTAGTCCGAATAATTTCTCGATTTCAAACCCGTACTCTTTTGCAAAGTCCTGGGTCTGCATAAAGGCCTGTGTGAATGGACCATGGGACGGAGTGGCTTTACTGGGTGGCTGAATGGGAATAGGAGGCGGCCCCATATCCCCCTGGACGGCCGGTCCAGGTTGAGCAGAGGGGGGTGTCGTTTCCCTTTCAACATGTGGCTCAGGTTGGGCAGAGAGTGTTCTTTCCCTTTCAACATTTGCCACTTGTTGTGTGGAAGAATGTGTCTGTTGGGTTGATGTCTTCTTCGAAGAGGACGCGATTGACGCTTCATTCTTCTTGCTACCTGTCATTTTCGCGGTATCAACGGTACGTGTTTCGACATTCAATTCCCAAACGCTGGAAAGACGGGAGCTAAAACCTATTGGTTAGTTAAATGTTTAAATAGAACGCCTCCACCTCTCTCACCCGGATAGACAATGATCATGGTTGAGAAGGTAGCATTCACGCTTTATCTTCAATTGATTCTTTCTTCTTTGTCTCAACGGCCTCCTTGCTAGCCCTCACTGATCTGCTGGTCTTCAAAATATTCTCGGTTTCCACAACCGATACCTTTCTAGCAGGTAACTGGCGTTTTGACGCCTGAGTGCTTGTAACTGCCTCCTTTCCTTTGCCCTTTTTAGACGTTGGATCGGGAACGGTATAATACTCTTCATCCCCACTGTGGTACTCCTTGTCAGTGTGGATCCACATGGTAGGTCGCGTACCCATCGCACCTCTGACCCTGGATAGAATGTTTTTGTATTTCTCCTCGTCATCTAGGATATCCTGTCTGCACCTAGGATAGGAAAGCGGTACCATGTGTCATTGTTGTTCCACTTACGACCGAACTCTTTGTAAGTGGGAGAGAACGGGTAGGTCACCTTTACTCCATTAACCAATATCGTATACTCCAAAGCCTGTTTAGGAAGGGCTGGGAGCTTCTTTGCAACATTCTTTGCCACAATCACAGGTGCAGGTTCAGTGATAGCAACGACAGCATGTTGCTCACTCTGAACTTGCTCGCTGGACTTCGTGTTACAGGAACTACGGAACACTGTTCTAAAAGGTTTAGGACAGGGAGGGATACGAGTGACGGGTTGTGATGCGAGAACGGACGGGTAATGGAAGGACAAGCATAGAAAGGTATCGGGTAGTGTGGGGGCATGCGGTGTTACCACACTAGTACTATACTATTATGACGGCACGCTTACTAGTGGGTGTCTCACCCGAAATAGAATAGGAAGCGGGGCTTATGGCTGTAGGCTGTTCTACTTCGGGAAGTAGGTCTAGGATAATAGTATGGTACAGCCCGGTGACTGGCAATTGCAAGGTTCATGGTTACGTGTCGGAATTAGAATGGAGGACAGAACTATGCGGGGGCGCTTTTCTATCTGGGTTATCTTCGGGAGCATTATCTTATTCTATTATTGTTGTATCAGTTAGCATTAGAAAGCGGGCCTTGGCATAGGTTCCAACATGTATAAATAGGGCAGGATTCTGCGAAGACTTGAGGGTATCATCAACCACCAAGTCAAGGGAATCCGGTTTACAATATCATCAGTTTAAACGCTACAGAATTATCGCTTAGCACTAGCCATTTCCCTTAACACTTTGGCTCTTGATGTTCGTCAGAAACTCTGGCAGCAACTTGTTTTGGGGCAGTAACTGGCTTCGGAGCGGTAGGGGCTGGTTTCGGAGCAGTAGAAACCAAGGTTAGCTGCTGTACTGGGGCAGTAGAAGCTGAGGTTGGTTACTATACTAGAGTAGATGCCTCGGGCTTCCTTTTCCGCTTTCCACTGTAGAGTCCGTGTGTAGGAGGCCTTCCTCTCTTGACGGTGCCTCCATTCAGAACTATATTCATATTCTTGTTACGGTTCTTATTTCTTCTTTTATTATTTGTCAATGACAGGATGATGGCTAACGCAATCTCATCAGTACAATTGTATTCTGCAAGAGCGTTTTTAACCTTGTCTATCAGCAACTGGCGGGTAGCTTTGGTCTTGACGGCAGACCACGGTGAGTCAATTATGAACTGTAGTGGCTTTGCAGAAAGTGCAGTATTAGCAATCCTTCTACGACGCAGGTATTCGAGACGATCATTTTTCTCGGAGTATTCACCACACCTCATCTGGGTTATGAGAGGGGTTTTGTCAGCAACTTCTAGTAGATCTTCAAGAGCTTTCTCGTTTGGAATGTCGAAATTTCCTGTGGCAGATCTCTGGGACTCGTCCTCATCGTCCTCAATCTCACTCAAATTCAGCAACTGTATTTCCAAATGATTGGGTTCTCTGTCTAGGGTCTGCCCCGGCAGCAACTTTGCCCTTCTGCTGCTGCTGCTGCTGCTGCTGTTGTTTTTCAATCTGTTGCTCTTTTTCCTGCTGCTCTTGCTGCTGGAGTTGTCGTTTTTGTTCCTCGATCTGCCTCATCTCCTTCTCTCTTTCCTGTTTGAGACGTTTCTCTTTTAGCCACTCCTTGAACTTGAAGTCGGCCATATCAAGTAGTGTATTTGGAGCTACGTCCTCGCTGCTATCACCCATCTCCTAAGATATTCATTGTTAGTATATTATTATCTAGATGGATATCAATAATTACCATTTTGTATATATCTCACTGTGGTACTGGCAATTTGGTATGTTGGTATTGTTGTGTCCAGTATTAATGTTGGTGAGAAAACATAGACGAAATTTGGTATATTGGGTGCGTGAAGTTTTGCTATATTCTGGCATCTTTTTTTCAAATTCTTGGTGTCGTGGTATCATTTCCTTGTGTTGTGTTGCTGTTGCTGCGTGCCCCGAAGTGATAGTAGCAACCCGTTTTGCAACACACAATAATGACAACATCATCAACGTCACTAACATGTCAGACCCCGCCAATATTCCTTGGGCTAGAGGCGAGAGACGCATCTGTAACTGTGATATTTATGAAGGTGAACCTCACGAGGTTTCAAGAACCGTATGGTTCAGGCATCGCAATCGACAACGGCAGATTAATCAGAGAGGGTCGCAAGAAGTGCAGCCATAGGCGCTAGATTCTCAGCACGATGCTGACGTTGTAAGGCAAACCCAATACATACATGATTATTTTTATTATACACGGCTCACCATCCAATATAGCTTGATGCTGCATCTCGAGACCCAACTCCCAAATTCAATGATCCACTTCCGGAGCATGATCATTCTCAAAAACGAATGCCCTCACCTACATTTGTAGATGATGCTAGCCCCGACAGTCCACAGGCACAACGGGTACGCAGGACTATTCGCAAGCCTGAGAATACAGCCTCTCGCCCTCCTACCCGCCGTCAACCTCGCTCTCCTAGACATCAGGCTCCCCAAGCTCATTCCCATTCTCAAGACCAAGTCGAATATGATTCTCAACCCCTCGCTGCCCCATATGCAGAACGTAGCAACGAGTCTCCAGCTGAATCTTTATATGAATCTGCAGCCGAATCACTTTTTGATATTTGTGCTGAATCTCCGGTAGAACATCATCCTGAGCCTCGTCTCTCTCCTCATATTGATCACCATATTGTTCATTATGCCGAGTCTGCAGTAGAACCACCATCTGAGTCCCGTGCAGAGTTTGGTGCCGAGCTTCTTCCAGAGTCTCCCCCAGAGCCTCTCATGGAATACGATGCAGCAATTGCCTCAGATGATACCATCTCTTGCTTCCAGAATCACAGTATGTTTCACAGGAGCCTATTTTGCCTGAGGCCGATGACCATATCCCTCTCGTGTTTGCAGATAATTCCTGCTAGCAACCCAAGCTTTTCAAGCTCTTCGAGCTCGTCTAGCTCTTCGGGCAATGATGCAGACAACGAGCCCATGGACGAGCCCATCAATGAGCCTTACTTTGACGACAATAGAGGCGAAGAAGAAGAGCAACCGGAGGATATACACAACATTAAAGACTTCCCATACCAAATCATTCCAAATATCAACCTACCAGACTCTATCCCCAAGCACTACGCCCTCATGAAGGTACGGATGGATGGAAACGTTGCCCAAGATTTTCACAGACGATGTCTCGCTGCCGTACAAGGCTTCATATCGATCTTCAAGTTGGACGAGGCATCCGCTAGGAGAGAGCTCAGAGCCATTACTGGAATACACCACGTTCAGTACGACGTGTGCCGTAATAATTGCATCTGCTTTGCTGCTTTTCCAACTTCAAAGGCCTGTAATATGTGCAAGGCAGACAGGAAAGATGCAAATGGGAAACCATATCGTACTTTCGATTACATCCCTTTTACTCATCGTTTATGTCCGCTCTACACAGACGCTGGATATGTCCGTGAAACGATGAAATACAAAGAGTCGTTTCCAACAGACCCGTATACTGCAGACAATCCTAGAGTTTCTACCAGAGACTACTGGGATAGTCTTCTGTACTCAGCGGTGAAGTAGAGGGGTCTATGGACCGACGTTAGAGAGATTGGATTCGTATTCAGCACGGATGGGTTCTCGCTATTCAAGGTACGTACTATAGCAAAGGATATATCTGCTGCCCTGTCATCCTTGAGACCACGTGGTATCATAAAATACAACGTTACCAACACTATTTTAAATACAGTTCTAATAAACAGAGATAGATAAGGCAATACGACGTGTGGCCGCTGCTACTGATAAACTGCAATCTTCCGCTGTCAGAGAGAGTCCTCAAGAGGTATTTGATGTTATGTGGTATCATACCGGGGCCAGGCAACCCTAAAGATATAAGCTCGTTCCTAAAACCAATGATTGACGAGTTTTCCCAACTGCAGAATGGCGTGAAAGCTTGGGACAGGCTGGGTAAGGAATCCTTTATACTGCGAGCACATATTGCACTGATTTCAGGTGATACCCTGGCCATGGCCAAGTTGATGAAGTGGACAGGCCCAAATAGCTATCGCGACTGTAGATTTTGTGGAATATACGGGATTAGTGAACGGCACATATTCTGTCCACTCGAGCCACCACGTGACCGGGACCCTCCAGTCGAGCCACCCAGTGACCATGTAGCGGCTACAGTAAGTGAATCGGGTGCCGAGGATGGGGAGCAAACAGAGCCTGTTTCAAATAAATTCAAAGGCAGAGCTGGGAGGCAGCCGGCCAGGTAAAGCACTCTTTCTCCTGAGAGGTCCTGGGACCCAAATAATCTCCCCGTGTGGACAGATAAAGATATGCGTAATAATCAAACCAAGATGGAGGACACAATAGATGCCGTATGGGGCAAGCTGATGGGAACTAGCGGGGTCCCAATATTTAGCTGTCTCAGGTCTATTGTCTATCGGTGGGTCTTTGCTCCTGACACCATGCACCCCCTAGACGAGAATACACCAAGGCTGTATCTAGCACACTGGATGGGGGTTTACCGTGATAAGGAGATTGCAGCTCTCTCACAAATGCAATCCAAAACGCTACCAGGGGATAACCGTGCTGATGTCGGCCAGTCCCAGGCACAGTCCCAAACGCAGGCTGATTCTCAAGCAGAGTCCCAGTTTGAATCACAAGTCGAGTCACAGTTTGAGACCCAGGTTGAATCACAGAAAGCATCTGAGGGTTGGCCTGGGCCTCACTCTCAGGTAGTATCTGGGCTTGGAGAATGTTCTCGGACCGGGGCCCGTATTAACAGACAGAGCAAGAGGCGTAGAGGAAGGCAAGGTATTAACTTCAATACTAATGTTGACCATAACCGTGACCGTGAAGTAGAGAGAGACTCTTACGCGTTATCCAAGAAAATATGGGACAAAATTGGAGCAGAGATTGCTGACTCGAGGTGCACAATACCTAGTGCCTTTGGCAAGGCATTTAGAGATATCAAATATCATGCAAGCTATAAAGCGACAGAGCTTATGAATTTCATGCATCTGATATCGCCAGTCATGCTGAATCAGCGATTGCCTGCTCAGTACTATGACCATTAGCATCATTTCGTTCTGTCCACAGAGAAGGCTCGCCGATATCAGATATCCATGTCAGACATTTCGGAGATGGAGAAAGACATGATATGTGTCGTCACTGATTTTGAATGGCTATACTACCAATATAAGCTGTCCAAGATATCAAGCTGCACGAAACAGGTGCATGGGCTGCTCCATCTATCGATGGCAATGCGGGTGTGTGCACCGAACCACATCCACCACCAATACACTATGGAGAGAACTGTGGGGACCATCAAGGCAATGTGCCACAGTCGGTCGTCTCCAAACCGCAACCTGTCGCTGCAGATGTTGGAGCGTGAGAGATTTCAATACCTGCCCCTAATCGCTATAGTAAGTACCACGTCTCTTATGATGTCCCCGGCCTTTGTGCAGGCATGCTTGGTATTACCATTACCAGTCTCTTCGTGTGATATTGTTCATGAGACTAGAACTTATCCACTGGCATGTCACACAGCATTAGCTGACGTCTTTTCTTTTTTAAAAGGTTCCCTTCGGTTTTAACGACTCGGAGACAAAGGAGAAACGTCTGTTTGGACTCAGTGAAAGAGACAAAGCCTTCTATCCCGATTATCCGGACTGCCTACTCATGGGGCCAAAGGTTTCACGCCTACTCAACCGGTATGAGAGGGCCAACCTTAGAGGGCTTCATGCAAGCGTAACGGGCAGAAGTTCACGTGCACTGCCTGCTGAGCTATTCTCTTGTGTGTTCAAGCTGTGGGGAAGAGCAGTGGCTGGTAAGGTTCTCAATAATGAGAATGATTATGAGGTGGTAGGCTCCAAGATCCCAAACGCGCAGGCTGCCTTTCGTGTTGCTACATCTCAGCGGAACGATTCATGGGTTCGTTGTATTATGGCTGATGATGATGAAAACGATACATTTTACATTGGAAGGGTGATGTTCTTCATGCAGTATGAGATTGAGTCAGAGGATGGGGAGGAGGGACCCGATCAATATATGTTGGCATACGTTGAACATATGGACGTGGGGAGAGTGAGGAAGGTTAAGTTGGCTTACAGAGTGGAGCATCGTGGTGTCCAAAAACTGTTTGTGGAATTAACAGATATTCAGGAATTAGTAGGTGTCATCAAGTCACGCGGTAAGGACTTCTTGGTGTCAAGAAGCTCGTGCTTCTGGCCAAAGAAGAATTTTTACTGGAGAGAGCATGTTGACAACAAGAATCTTTTTGATGATGCTAGCGGGCTTGAATAGGTAAGTACAAGTCCTACACCCACTAGGGAGATTTAGCTACGGGTTTTCGATAACGATATCCGCTTGGCTCGGCGCCGAGAACTATGGCTGGTGGTCGGTTATATAGGATAGTAAAAGGAGTTTCAGCCAACTCAACAACGGTATGGACAAAAGGAGATGTAGACTTGACGCGATATGATGCATGCTGATCGCCCACCCACAAAATCAATGACATCGCCAGCCCACAAGATCAATAATATCGCCAGCCCACAAGATCAATGATTTCCCAACGAGACCGTACTGTAGCAGCTGTTGTGACAACAGTGACAACAGTTTTTATTTCTGCAACGGTTACCACCATAGCTCTCCTAAATGAGTCCAAGCGAGCTCAGGAAAGACTGGCAAGACGTGCAAAAAAAACACAAACTTATCGCCCCCCTCTTTTGATACCACTAGGGTCAGAGTTCACACTTGAACTTTATAATGAGATATGGTGTCTGGAAGTTCTTCGGTAAATAATTTTATATAAATCATAATTGCTTGTATTAGAACTAATATCTATCAAGTTTTACACCCCTACAAATCCGGGCTGTTCTGCCATATTTAGGGTTAAATGATATAAAATTCCGTTGAAAAATTTCCTGCAGCGAGGAAGTAGCATTTTGTGTTCTTCTCTACCGATTGTCAGCGCCAGGCCGACTAAAATCTCTCATGTATACCTTTCAGCGATCGAGGAGCTGGTTGTCGACAGTTTTCAATGATGTTGTTGATCACTTGATCTTGCGTTTTCGTCAACTGTTGTTCTGGGATGAAACAAGATTGAATTATGCCACAGCTCGGAGATATGCTGATGCCGTTGAGAGAAAGGGGGGAGTGAACGGTATATGGGGATTTATTGATGGGACTATGCGTGCAATTTGCAGACCTGATAAACATCAGGAGTTGTACTACTCTGGGTACAAGAAATGCCATGCCGTTAAGTACCAAGCTGTACTGACACCCGATGGACTTGTATCTCATCTGGCTGGGTCTTATACTGGTAAAGAGAGTGATTGGATGGCTTATCAAGATTCTGGAATTGTTACAAAGCTACGAGAGCTACACGAAGCTCAACCTGATGCCAATCAGCTCTATATCTACGGAGATCCTGCATACAGTCTCTCCTATGGAGTTTTATCTTCTTACACAGCTCTTCCACATAGGCCTTTAAACCCTGTGCTAGCGGAGGTCAATGCGCATATATCAAGCTTGCGCATCAGTGTGGAACACGGGTTTGGAAAGCTAATGATGCTCTGGGGATTCAACGGTTATAAAATGGGTTTGAAGATTGGCTTGTCACCGGTAGCAGCATATTTTATGGTTTCGATTTTACTCTGTAATATTCATTCTTCTTTTAATGGCAATCAGACAAGCGAGAAGTTCCGATGTCAGCCACCTACTGTACATGAAGATCTAGTTTGTATTGTTAGGGCGTGAATCATTTGAACCGCTACCTAATCGCTCCAAAATCAACCTCAACATATCCTTTGTTTCCCCAATTTCTGTCTGAACAGTGCTTCGAAGACTTGTTAGCTCGTTGCTGATGCTATCCACTGCATTAAGAGCTCTCCGCGCATCCTCTCTTGCTATACTATCCTCATGAATATTCTCTTGCGCGCGGTCTGCACCTGAATTTGAAGATGCAAGTTTTTCCAAAGCACCCGCCATCAAAGCTCCAACATTACCCAATGCGCTAACAATTCTCTCCTCTTTAACAGTCTCCTCCTTGCTTCTATCTTGATTCCGTGCTCTTTTCCGCATGCGTCTAATTCTGGATACAGCGTTCAAACTATCCCTCTCATCATCCTCAACTCCCTCACGCAAATATACAGGCTGAGAGGAACCTGCAGCAGAATCCGCTCTTCTTACAGGTGTTTCTGGCAACAACGCGTCTTCTGTATCATCAGAATCAAAATCCTCCTCAGACACATACATGCGCTTATTACTGCATGAGAGTAACAGATTATCTCGATGGACCGCAGCATGTGCAGCTTCATGCTCAAGCGCATCCATTGGCTTCTTCGCATCTTGCTTTTCCTTCAGCAATTCATCTTCCCGCTCAATCCACCGGTCCAAGTTTTGATCCATTTCACTATCTAGCTGGACAGTTCCGCTTTCCTTCCTTTCTTGTTGGACAAGAATACGTCGCTCATCAGACATTTGCTTGATAGTATGATCAGGGTGCTTTAGATCTTTATCGATCTCAAGCTTCAACAGAGTCCTGATCTTATTCCAGAATGGAGCCTTTGCGCCCTTCTTCAAACTGTACTCCATTCTATTCATAACGACTAAGCGAACCAGGATCGAGCGGTCTTCAGCAGTCAGATGGACGCGTGAATTGACTCCTGCACCTACTACTACCAGTGGGCTACCTCCTGAACTCCTAGGGCCCCTACTCCTTCCAACAAGAGCAGGATCCAGAGGTATACTTGAATCAGATGAACCAGGCATGTATTGAATAAATCCAGACATCTGTCCGATACTAACAGTTGAAATGAGCAAAAACTGGATGCGCACGAAAAATTGAGCAAGAACTGGACGCGCGACCGACAGACAGAGCAAGAACTGGACGCGTGCAACGGGCCGGACAAAAACTGAACTTACAGGACGGGTGGACGGGTGGACACTGGCAGAGAGGATAGGCGGACAGAGAGGATAGGTGGACAGGGAGGGCGGGCGGACAGAGAGGATGGGCGGACAGACAGAGAGGAGCGGACAGAGAGGACGGGCGGACGGACAGAGAGGACGGACGGACGGACAGAGAGGACGGACGGACGGACAGAGAGGACGGGCGGAGGGACAGACAGAGAGCACGGGCGACGGACAGACAGAGAGGGGCGGACAGAGAGGACGGGCGGACAGAGCTGATGGGGGGACAATTGGATAGAAAGGGCAAAAACTGGACTGACAGGAGGGCAGACGGAAAAAACTGGACTGACAGGCGGGCAGAGGGAAAAAACTGGACTGATTGGCGGGCAGAGGTCCTGGGACTATAGAACAGGTGGACTAGGGGGTATTCTGAGAATTACACTATGTATGCTATTATATACACTCTGTTTTCATCAATTATCGTTATCTGGAATCAATTCTTATAGAAGATATCCTAACTGGGGAATATATCGCCGATAAATGGTGGAAACAAAAACATGTGGCGGGTTGCCATGGTAACATCGGAAAACCTTCCTAAATAGTCAGTACCGATATCGAAAACCCGTAGCTAAATCTCCCTACTAAGTTACTAGTAAAGTTGTTGATGATTTCGTTAGTATAATCATACAACTAATGGTTCACAGTTAAAATGTCTTGATGTAAAATCATAAAATAGATTGTTAGTATAATCATCAACTTAATCGTTCCTGCTTTAAGGGCCTTGATGTAAAATCTTTTGTGAATTCGTTGGTAAAGTTGTTGGTAAAATCTTTCACATTTTTTTATAGTGAGTAGTAGCAAGGCCGTATTAAATTGTCGGTAATATCGCAAGTATAATCATCAACTTAATCGTTCACGTTTTAAGGATCTTAATGTATAATCATCAAAAAAATCGTTAGTAAAGTTGTTGGTAAAATCGTTCAAATCTTTTTATAGAAAAGCTTAGAGCCGTGTATTAACTCCTCAGGAATATCGTAAGTATAATCACCCGTTAAATTGTTCATAAGCTTAAAGGCATTGGTGTAATATTGCTAGTATAATCGTCCGTAAAGTCGTTAACAGTTTACAGGCGTTAAAGTAATGTCGTTAACAATATCATTACTAAAATAATTGGTATTATCGTTAATTGCGTGCAGCAGATTACAATAATTCATCAGATATATTCTCAGTATAATCATCCGTAAAGTCGTCGCCAGTTCATAGGCGTTAATGCAAGTCGTTAGTGATTTCATCAGTAAATGTGGATGGTAAATTGTTCAGGCTTTGCTAGGGGTAAATAAATCAACAGTAAAGTCGTTCGTGCTATGGCGCCGACATGGTAAAAGCAATAGTAAAGGAGTAAAGTTATTTGTGGGTTAACTCGTTCACGGTAACAGGCGCAAGTATAAAATCGTTAGTAAATTCACGTTAAATCGTTGCCAGTTTGTTAGCGTAAGGTGTTAGACAAGACGGTAGATATGTCGTCTGAAAAGTGCAGTGTAAATGCACACTCTGTGTGGATGCAGTGAGAGAAACTCGTAGGTAAAGTCATCAGTAAAGTCCTTCACCCAGAAATCCCTAAGGCAGGAGTAATTCATCAGTAAATTGATAGCGAAATTACATAGTAAATACGTTGTCAGGAAAACAGTGGTATGGGAAAGTCATCAGTAAATTCGTTCACGTTTTATGTGTTAAATCGTCGTCAAATGCAACGGCAATGTCAGTAACGGCGGAACGACTACACACGCTAGTGAGAGAGCCATTGTTAAATTATCCGTAAAGTCGTTCTGGCTGGGCCCCTACGGTGGTATAGGAAAATCATCAGTAAAATCTAAAGTGGGACTGGGGATGCATTCGCCGATGCATTATACCGATGCATTATTCTGGCACACGCAGGTCACGGCATAAAAAGATGGGATGCATTTACCGATGCATTACCACGATACATTTCCCACCGTAGTAGAGTATATATATATACTTATATATAACATACCTATAGAAGGTGACATACCCAGACGCTTATTAGGTGGGCGGAATCTCTCCCTGGCGGTGCGGTGTGTGTGGATAAATGTCTGTGTTTGGAACTCGTGCTCTTTGTTTTTGTTTTGTTGCTGTTTAGTTACCGACCCCTAACAAGAGCCCTAATTGGCACTGGCATTAGGGCTTGCGCGAGCTCGTCGGCGTGAGCCATTGCTGACAGAGTGAGGGGTGTGCAAGGGTGCTACGGGGTGCATATGTGTTGGTTTAATCTGGGAGTGTCTTCTATTTCCCCGTGGTAATGGTCCTCCTTATAACTCCATATCCCAGGCAGTTCAATAAGTATGTAAATAGACTCCATTTCTACCAGCCTTCATTCCGAATTGTCAACGCTTTCCCGGTGTTCCCTAGGGAACAATTCCGTAAAGATACATGTAAGTTACCCGAAATAGGCGGTAGTTTTCGAGGCGATGATATATCCCTATCGAGTACCCTGTCTATCCATTTTATAAGGATAACTCGAGAGAGAATTACACTGAATGGGCGGTAAGTAATCTCAATGAATTGATAAAGTATCATAAGATGTTATCACAATTATTAAAAAAACAAAGTTCCAGGGGTTCGAACCTCGATCATCTTGACTAGTTACTCAGAGTCTTACCACTTATACTATCAGTTTCTTTACTGAATTAATATTTTTTGATTTGGCAAATTCAGCTATCAGGCCAGTTACCTCCCACAGGAGATGATCATCCATTATAGCAGGTAGCTATCCTTAGTATTTTTGGTAGCCTCGCTTGTCCTATCCCTTTTGGGACAGCTCTAAAATCGCAATAGATAAATTATCATCTCCCTGAGCTAATCATATTTTCTGGGTGATAACTCCAACATATATCGGCAGTGTGATAATTAACCACACTTTCGAAGCGCAGGTCAATTTTGGGTATTTTTTGCATTAATTCTCCTCCCCGCACGGATGATTTACCGCTATACACCTAAAAATTGTACCATAGTGTATGTTGGTATTGAAATGAACAATAACGAATATATTTATTAATTACTCCTACAACATATATATATCAGAAACACGAAAACATAGACATCTTCCCCACCCCAGCCCGGGGGGGGGGGGTTGATTGTTTTCCTGTATACGTAGACTATGACTGGTTACGGGCTTGAATCTCGTATCCCCTACCACCGACTGTATACTGTAACCACGTATGCAAATGGGCGCACGATGTTGAGGTCAACTAAGAAAGGTCACGTATGTCGTGACAAGTCATGCAAGACACCTGTTATTAGCATGTTCGTTATGTATATATATGACCGACCCAGACCTCTCCCCTCTATACAATCATACAGACACACACTTACTCCTCCAATGAACACGCCGATCACGACTCCGGAGCAGGGTGAGCGGGAGGAGGGAGAGGGCGGGAATGGAGGGAGTGTCATGGTCATGGGAGTGAAGAAGAAGAAGAAGAACACCACCGCCAAACGCCTCAAATTTGACCCGGCCATCCACGGCATCGAGCTGCAAAACCAACTCCTCCAGCATAAAGACTCCTTTGAGAGGTTCATCACACGGCGCATGTCCGCCAGGACCAGGGTCTCAATCACAACCGCAACCGCAACCAGCAACAGCACCCCTACTACCTTCGTTGCCAAACGCCTCAGATTTGACCTGGCCATCCACGACATCGAGCTGCAAAACCAACTCCTCCAGCGTAAAGACTCTTTTGAGAAGCTCATCACACGGTGCATGTCCGCCAGGAACAGATTCACAACCATAATCACAACCCCAACCAGCAGCAGCGCCCCTACTACCTCCCTCGCCGTCCGCTACATCTTAAAAACGAACCCACACCAAGCCGAAACCCAACCCCCAATACCAGATCCACAACCAAATGAGACACAAGAACAAGAAAACCGAGAAGGGTGGTCCCCCATCCACTATCGCGACCCAGGCCAGCGGGAAAGGCTGCGCGAGCTGTGGCAGAAGAGAAGGCAACGTAGTTGGTGAGGGCTTGGGCGGAGATGTCGAAGGCGAGACAAACTTTAAAGTCCCCGGTGCAGGCGCCGCGACGATATTATTCGCACAGCAAATGTAGCACGAGGACTACTACATACGTACAAACGGCATACACACACCCTATACTGTTACTAGATGTAAACATGGGGCGGGGAAAGACTCTCCAGTTTCATTTCGTTTAACGCTTCTTCTTTGTTTTTACTCTGGCTTTCATATTTTTCTTTTCTTGCCAGGGTATCAGCCCGACCCTGTTAACATGTATATATAAATAACTCTTGGGAATAAGCAAAATCCCAAGCGACGTCAGATTCCGGGTACAGGATGGTACATGTAATCTTGACACAGTGATAGTTTGTAACATTATTTCAATTCATTGTGCTGCTTATATTATCACGATTACTAGAGTGCCTGTTGCAATTCGGCCCAACAACCTATCAAATAATGTTATCAAAAAAAGGTTATAGGTTGCAGTACTGCAGTAATTATTCTCAGCGGATGGTTACACAGACGTCGAAGTTGCCTTTTACAGTGTGTACGAGGGAAGGTTAGGGGGGCGTTTTCAAGACAAATGATCAAAACAAGTAATTTCAACATCAATGCGGGTGTCCGCTGAGACGTATTACGCTAGGAGATTGAATACGTAGCGAGAGATGGTGCTATTGAGGTTGTAGTACCTGGTGGTGGGTAGGCGCCGGAGGTGGCACGAGGTGGGGGATTGGGAGGATGTCGTGGAGGAGGTGGAGGGATACGAGATTGTACTGGGGCGTAGGTGGTGGTAGTACTAGAGAATGCCAACGGCGGCTGTAGGGTATCAATGGTACTTGCTTGGTGATGCCTTGTTATAGGTTGCCCACCCTCGCCCACCTCCACCACGCCTCCTCATCTCGCCCCCACCACCGCCCCACGGACTCAAGGGTTTTTCTTCACCCCCATCTCCATTGCGACTCTTGCATGAGATTAATGGATTACACAAAAAAAAATTCCAAAAAACAAGGGAGAGCGAGTGCGTCACTATGCATCACTCGATAAACCATCATCTCGCCCCTGCCCCTGCCCCAACCTTTACCTGGCACCCAGCAACAGCACGAAATTTAAAATGTCTCAGCGCCCCCCCCGCCCCCCACACCACCGCTCCGGCACCCGAGCAACCCCACCCACTCAAGCTCATCCCACGCCAAGATACTAAGGCTCACCCACCCCGAGCACCTTCAGCTCCATCACCTCCTCCACCTCACCTCAGCCACTCCCCAACCTCGCGCACTTCCACCTGCTAAATGAAAGTTCATCCATATCGCCCACCTCGAGCACGCCCATCTCTACCTCGATTATTTTATTATGTAGGTAAAGTGTGGTGAGTGCGTCATGGTGTATCACTCGGTCTCGAGGCAAGCCGCCTGCGCCCCTTGCCCTCACCATTCCCTTACATGTCGCCTGGTACTAACTCTACCTGCTAAGGTATGCCTCCACCTCCACCACCTCTTTCTGGTGGAGGTGAGGCGATACATGTAGTTATTTTTAACTATTGTGTGTTAGCGTAATCCTTCCAAGTAATCAAATAATATCACGGTTTGTGACCTTTTGTATCGGCCATGATGTTTTCTCGGGCGATGTGTTATAACATTGAGGGAATGGTTATGGGGTAATGAAGAAAGGAATCAGAAGAGGGAACCTTCGCGTGGAACCGCCAACTGATCATCTCCAAACATAAAAAAAAGATTCTTTTCAATTGGTCTTATTCATTGAACCTCCCCTTACTCGTCAACACCTAGTGTCTGTCCCCACCCTCACCTCCGTGAACGCCTTAAGTCATCGACAAAGTATGTACTCGCGTGTATCAAAGCACAATTTAAAATTGTAAGAGCAAGGGTAGAAAGTACGGTTTTTGTAGGTTCTAATGGTACAGTACGATGCCAGTCGTGAGGGTCAGGCGCAGCGTCGCAACGCCGCGCGCGCAACCAGATTTCCACAACCTTTTTACGGCAGGTTGGTACACAAGATATTAAATGTCAAATTATTGTTATTTATCTACTATTCAACAACTATACAAAAATTCAGCTCTCCAAAGGATCAATTGTGGTTGCTGTGCTGGTACCCGTGATTGTTCGGGGGGCGTTGCGACGCTGCGCCTGACCCTCACGACTGGCATCGTACTGTACATGTAAGGAAATTTGAAACCAATCCCCACCACCAGCCTAAACATCTTGAAGCCAGGAGCATCGTCACGAACCGCAGAGCCCTTGACATTGTCGCTATTAGACGAGGTTTCGAGAACTAGAATCTCTCTCTCTTGTGCTTGGATTACACAGATGAACAGCCTTTGTCTACCTGGAACAAACACAGGAAAGCACCGTTTAGGAGTCTAGGGGATTGGGTCTGGGTCCTAGACCCACCGAGACCGAGACCGAGACCTAGGCCCACCAGGCAAAAGGCCGGGGGTTTTGAGATGTTTAGCATACATTCGAACTCTATTATGGAAAGAAGGGAGATTCACCTATGGTCAATGATATAGCGCGGGGCCCTAAGGGCCCGGATCCCGTCCCCTCTAATCCCTAACTCATTTCTTGTGCTTGCTCCACGTTGCCTCCTGTCCGACCATCCATGTAGCCCATGCAAAAGTGAAAAAGATCCAATTCTTCCCCAACACATGACCTAGTTAGTGTTAACGGAAGGCATGCAGAATGCTTGAGCTCGAGTTTCAACAGCTTCGGTAAACTGTCACCGTCACTACTCTAACGTCCAAATACCATCCATCACCCAAGGAACTTCCACCACCACCACTCCACTCATCCATTTCCACCACTACGGAAATCATACCTCACACCAGCGAGTACTGTTACAGGAATTACGGAACACTGTTCTAAAAGGCTTAGGACAGTGAGGAATACGAGTGACGGGTTTTGATGCGGGGACGGTCGGGTAACGGAAGGACAAGCATAGAAAGGTATCGGGTAGTGTGGGGGCACGCGGTGTTACCACACTAGCACTATACTATTATGACGGCACGCTTACTATTGGGTGTCTCACCCGGAATAGAATAGTAAGTGGGGCTTAGGGCTGTGGGCTGTTCTACTTAGGGAAGTAGGTCTAGGATAATAGTATGGTACAGCCCGATGACTGGCAATTGCAAGGTTCATGGTTACGTGTCGGAATTAGAATGGAGGACGGAACTACGCGGGGGCGCTTTTCTATCTGGGTTATCTTTGGGAGCATTATCTTATTCTATTATTGTTGTATCAGTTAGTATTAGAAAGCGGGCCTTGGCATGGGTTCCAACATGTATAAATAGGGCAGGATTCTGCGAAGACTTGAGGGTATCATCAACCATCAAGTCAGGAATCCGAAAGGAATAGGGGACTACAGAACAGCGACTCGCTAAGACCTGTAGAGACCGCCGATTTCTGAGTAACATCCGTTTGATGTGTTGCAAGTTGGACCTGGCGGGTTTCTTAGCGAGGTATTTACTACCTACTCTACGCTATTGGAAACACTAGAGATCCTTGAAATACTTGAAGAGCAAAGCCAGATTTTATTTCTTAAGTACGCTTTACATAGTTACTGTTGTAATCGCCGGTAATTTTTCAAATGTATGGCTTATAGGAATGAAACACTATATTGTACCTTATCCCTAAACTTTTACTCTTACCTATCGTATACACTACCAAAAGTCTCGATAAGACAACTACTCGCTTAAACCAATACTCTGAGTATTTTGCTTAGTGGCGGATAGTCACCGTGCTCTCAGTAGAAGGATAAGCGATTAGTCTATTAGAAAGACCAAGGTACTATATGCACCCCCGAGTGGCAACACCAGCCATCGACAACTACCTTTGCGCTACATCCTTCATCGTAAGTAGAGGAAGCGCCGAACATCTGTACTGCGGATACCTCCACTTTACAGGTTTCTTCACAGAAGCAGGAACCACCGTTACCTTCGAGGAACACGACACCGAAATCCTCAACTACCCAGAACTCTTCCCAATCAAGATCACTCTCTCCCAATGGTCTTTCGGACTTGCTCACCCAGCCCCCTGGTTCATCGCTCAACCTTGGTGCAGAAGGCAACCACAGCTCAAACTCGAACAACTTAGCAATCTCAAGGGCTCATCAGCAATGGTCGGAGGAAGATTACAACATGGAGAGGTCAATCGCCTTGAGAGATCGAGGTATATTGGAAACCCAGGCCAAGAGGAGTCACAGGAAAGAGAGAGATGTGCCGATAGGCTCCCTCTTCGCATCGACGAGGCAGGAAGAATCATATAGGCAGGCGAGGAGGCGGCAGGTAGACCACAGGGAGTACTCCCCATACGTCACCCCCATCAGAGAGAGATCCTCTACTCAGAGGCCCTCGGTGCCTCGGGTAACGGACGAAGACGAGGATACCAACATGGACGTAGAGGAGCGACGAATGGAGAACCCTTTCGGCGACCTTATTGGGCAAGAAGTCCAGCGACAAGGGGCCCCAGTGGTGCAGCAGCTCAGCCGCGGGATCGAGGAACTCAGCATGCACGTGCGGGATATTCCCATACTCAGGGAACTCACCCGTCAGCAGCAGGAGTATACCAACAAGATCGTTGAGGACCTCCACGCCAAGTTCGCTGGAGACAGAGCTGAGCGCGACAATCAGCTCAACCAAGTCATGGCTCAGCTACGAGCGGAATCCACCGCCGCTACCAGCAACCTCGGACAAGTCCTTGGGCAGATCGTCGAGGCAACTAGGGCGCATTAGGAAAGGCAGGAACGACAGGACCAGCACATTAATGCGCTGACCAACTTCGTCCAGGAACTCCCCAAGGACGGTGCTGTACAGCTACCCGCGGAGGTTACGGCTGCCCTCTAGAGGATGGAATGGGACAGACAAGCTGCGATGGAAGACCAGTTCGCAGGTACGAAGAAAAACCTGGAGGAAATCATCGAGCAGATGCGGGTAGCAGCCAATAGAACGGCAGCAGCCCCCGAAGGCTTAGGAGGCGGAGGCGTAGTACCCCCCCAAC